GCGAATCCTGCCTCCAAGTATGACTGCTCAATTCTTTGTAGTTTTCGAGATATGACGTTTTTTGCGTTTTTTCAAAATTTTTCAGAAAACTTGAATTATTTTTATTCTTTAAAAATCTGAAATTCCCAACCTTGTAGTTAGGTTCTGTCAAAGTACTCTCAAGGATTGCGAATTTTGCCTCCAAATATCACTGCTCAATTTTTTGTAGTGTTCGAGATATGACGTTTTTTGCGATTTTTTCAAAAATTTTCAGAAAGTTTAAATTATTTATTTTTCAAATTTGAAACTCACAACTCTATAGTTCGGTGTTGTCAGGGTACTCTAAAGAGTTGCAAATCTTGCCACATGCGACTGCTAAACGCGAATGCTCAAATGCTTTTAGTATGCGAGATGTGACGGTTTTCGATTTTTTCAAATTTTTCTAAGAACTTATCTACAAAGAAATTCAAAAAATTTGAAACTACTAACTTGATGAAGATACAACTTTTTTGTCAGCGTACACCCAGGCGTCTCAAATCTTGCCTCTTAATTTGAATGCTCAAATCCTTTTAGTTTCCGAGATAAGACGTTTTTTTTCAATTTTTTTTCGGGAATCTTATGTTAAAAAATTCACAAAATTTTGGATTCCTAACCCTATAGTAAGGCGCTCTCAGGGACTCTCAGTGGTTGCAAATCTGGCTTCCAAATTTCTCCAGAGGCACATTAAGTTTTCGAGATGACGCTTTTAAAATTGGATGTAATTGGGTGCAGTCAGAGAACACTAAAAGTTTGCAGATGTTGTTTGCAATATATGCGGTTTTTTTCATGAGTTGTCGAAAAATTTCGAAGCACCGGAGGTGCGTTAAACGCTAGTTGTTTTTATTTATTTCTGCTGTTTTTAATTTAACAAATCTCGGTTTCGTGTTTTTTCTTAGTTTTTTTTTCGTATAAACACTTTATTCGGCCCAAATTGTTTTGACTTATATTTTATCGGCATAGTTGCCTAATTTTGAGTCGTTCCATGGGATAAACAATTTTTGTGCTTGCCTTTGGATTGCACAGAAACTTCAGATATACATTGAATTTAGTTGGCTTAAAGATTTCGCCACAATTACGAGTGTTTTATTTCTGTATTTTTTTTTGGTAATTTTTGTAGTACTTTTTTTCTTGATTTGCAAATGGTAGTTCTAGCTCATGGTTTTCAACACTGAAGAACTTCTGTTAGAAAAAGCTCTTTTTTGAAATAAAAAATTTGCTTCAAATTTTTGGTTTTTGTGTGTGCTTTAAAAAGCAAAATGTTTTGAAATTAAACAATTGCTTATAGTTTCCATTTTTTTCGGATGCAAAGTTTCCGATTTATTTTTTCATCTTAAATTGCGTGGAGTTAGTTCTAGATTTAATTTATTGACGTGTTTAGGGATGAGGCGTGTTTAGGCGGGTTGATTGTGTTGTCTATGAGAGTAAGTGGCGATTGTCGCACGATACTCATAAATATGATTCTTTCTGACTGAAATTTTTTTGCAAATTCGTTTTGTAGAAATTGTATGAAACTTCAGTATCAGTTTTTTGTTTTGATTTTAGTATATATCAAGTTTTTTGATGAATATTATAGCCATTTGTTTCTGTACCAAATGCTGGTTGTTTGATAGCAAGATTTTGAGCAAATTTTATTTAGAAATTTTTGGATCTCGATTTTTTTACCAATTTGTTTTTCTGGCGTTTCCATCTATTGGATATGAGAAATAAATGAGTTTTTGCAACCCGAGTTCTCTAACCCGAACTTTGTGTCTTACGTAATTGAATTTTATATTGATTGAAATTAAATTTTTCTCATTTTTATCATACGATTTTTTTTTCACTTTTGGTTTGAAACACCTTATTTTGTTTTGTGATTTTATTTTTTATTGCAAGTAGTGCGAACTCAGCTTCACCTCGGTCTTTTTTTGTCAGCGGCCGTCGTTTCGGACATATTTTGCTTCCACATATCTATGGGTTGTATTGTTTTTCGTCTTGTTATTCGAGTTCTTAAAGAATTTCTATGGTAGTTTTTTATAGATTGTTTCTTTTCTAATGTTTCTTAGCTAGTTTTTTTGGTCTTATTGTGATTTTTTTTGGTTTTTCGGTGTTTTCACTTTGTAATGAGAAAGCAATGAATAGAGGGTTATGATAGCGAACATTTTTCGGAAGGAGTCATTTCAAGTGTGTGTATTTGTGTAAATACTCTGAACGAAACTTCATTTTTTATCTTATCTTTTGCTTTTTTTTAAATAAGAAAAATGAATTGAGTCTTATAACTCAAATATCTTCTATGGTTAAATTAATTCATTTTCCATCTGAGTTGCTACATTTTCGGTCGTTTTGTTGTTTGAATTTTTTAGCTGACGATTTTTTTTGAAGTATACGTTTTTTTATTTCACCGCGTAAGAAAGCAATGATTGAAAACCTTTTTAACAAATGAAATAAATTTTGGCATTTTTTTGTTTGACAAGTATTGCGAAGCTCAGATTCGACCCTGTCTAGAAATTGTGTGATTTTGTCTATAATTTTTAGTTTTTATTCGGATGCAAAGTTTTTGATTAATTTTTTTCATCTTAAATTGCGTGTAGTTAGTTCTAGTTTTAATTCATTGATGTGTTTAGGAATGAGGCGTGTTTAGGCGGGTTGATTGTACTGTCTATGAGAATAAGTGGCGATTGTCGCACAATATTCAGAAATGTGATTATTTCAGACTGAAATTTTCTGCAAATCCGTTTTGTAGAAATTGTATATAACTTCAGTATCAGTTTTTTTTGTTTTGATTTTAGTATATATCAATTTTTCAGATGAATATTTCAGCCATTTGTTTCTGTACCACATGCTGGTTGTGTGGTTGCAAGATTTTGAGCAAATTTTGTTTAGGATTTTTTGGATCTCGATTTTTTTACCAATTTGTTTTTTTGGCGTTTCCATCTATTGGATATGAGAAAGAAATGAGTTTGTGCAGCCCGAATTCTCTAATCCGAATTTTGTCTCTTTGGTAATTGAATTTTACATTGATTGAAGTTGAAAAAATCGTAGGATAAAAATGGGAAAAACTTATTTCAATCAATATAGAATTCAATTAACTAGGACACAAAGTTCGAGTTAGAAAATCCGGGTTGCACAAACTAATTTCTTTCTCATATCCAATAGATTAAAACGCCAGAAAAACATATTGGTAAAAAAATTGAGATCCAAAAAATTCTAAATAAAATTTCGTTTGAAACAAATTATTTTTTTGTGATTTTATTTTTTATCGCAATGTGCGAAGCTCAGCTTCGCCTCGGTCTTTTATTGTCAGTGGGCGTCGTTTCGGACATTTTTTGCTTCCACATATCTATGGGTTGTATTGTTTTTCTTTTTGATATTCGAGTTCTTAAAGATTTTTTTGGTAGTTTATTTTAGAATGTTTTTTTTTCTAATGTTTCTTAGCTTAAGTTTATTTGGTCTTTTCGGTAGTTTTTTGGTTTTTCGGTGTTTTCACTTTGTAATGAGAAAGCAATGAATAGAGGATTATGATAGCGAACAATTTTCGGAAGGAGTCCGGAAGGAGGACTTCGTTTTTTATCTTATCTTCTGCCTGTTTTAGGTAAGAAAATGAATTGAGTCCAATGATAACTCGAATAACTCTTATGGTTAGGTTAATTCGTTTTCCATCTGAATTTTTTGGTTACAGTTTTGGTTGTTTTTTTGACTTTTTTAACTGACAATTTTTATTTAAGTATACATTTTTTTTTATTTCATCGCGTAAGAAAGCAATGAATGAAAACTTTTTTTTACAAACGAATTAAATTTTGACAATTATTTTTGTTTGACAAGTATTGCGAAGCTCAGTCTCTACCCTGTCTAGAAATTGTGAGATTTTTCAAAATTTCAGTTGTACGTGTCCAAAAATTTGCTAGTGAGCAGCTTTGCGTTCTTATTATTTTTTGCAAGTTTACTGTGCGAGGATTTCTTAGTTCTGACATTTTCTAAAGTTTCAAAGTCTGCGATTGCTGGGAAAGCTGACAATCGTGTTTTGCAGATTTCAGATTCTCTTGCGTTTTTGAAACGCCTCGTACAGAAACACAAATTGATCTCGAATTTTAGTGCTATGTCCTTTTTCAATGCAAGTTGCACGCTATTGTGGGGCATATAAATATTTCAAGTTTTATCGCTGAATTGTTTTGCGGTGTTAATTTAGCAAAAACATGGGCCAGTTTCTGTACAGTTGTGAAATCGAGAGCCTATTAATCAGGAGGCTTGGGTTCAAAGCAGACACAATCTAGAATACTTTTCGGGACACAATTTTTCGAATTCACGCATACAATGCTTTGGTTGCTGCTTGAATATGCAGAGCAACTTCACCTCTGTGTAAAGCTCCAGGGTGTGACTGAAGTCGTTTGCTAAAACAGTTGCTGAAAGCTACAGACTTGATGAAACTATTAACCAAATGAACCAAAAATTGCATTATACTCGGTTTCAAATAACAGGGTCGCATTAAAAGGGTCCAGTTGTTTTTAAAGGGAATATTAGTAAGAGGGTGTTCTTTTTTTGCCCATTGTTTGCTTATAGTGTGTTCTGCAATTCAAAAAATGAAGTTTTGATGTGCTGCGCTAGTTTTAAACAGAAGACGGTAAAACAGAATGTGCGAGTTGATACGAGCGAGTTTTCTGGTGCGGAAGGGGTATGCGTTTTTTAAGAGAAGCTTTGCCTTAAGACAAAATCGACGTTTCACTATTAAAATCAGAGTATGGGAATACTTATTTGAGTTGCCCCTTTTTGCATCCCAGAACATTCATATCTATAAAGTTACAATATTTGGCACCTAAGGTGCTTTATGCTGCCCGACTTGCTTAGTTATCGCGCTTGAGCTTTTTTCACCAAAGGGTCTGGAGGTTCATATTTTTTGATATATCAAATGACTCTTTTGCTTGCTTTGCAAATAATTTTGAAAAGATTAATGTTGAGTTTTGAAGTAATATTACTGCATAACAGAATGTTCGCCAAAACAAACATGATTTTTCAGATCTTTGTTTCTTACCAACTATGAGTTCCACGTCTGAGCTAGCGTGTGTTTATGCTTCACTGATTCTGCAAGACGAGGGTCTAGAGATCTCGGCTACGAATATAAATAAGCTGGTCAAGGCGGCTGAGGTAAGCGTTGAGCCAATTTGGCCAACCCTGTTTGCCAAGAACATGACCAGTGAAAGCATTGAGGCAATATTGACGAACGTTGGATCTGGTGCCGCTGTTGCATCTGGTGGTGGTGGCGCTGCTCCTGCGGCTGGAGGTGCTGCACCGGCCGCCGAAGAGAAAAAGGAGGAAAAGAAAGAGGAATCAGAAGAAGAGTCCGACGATGACATGGGATTTGGATTGTTTGATTAAATTCACATGTTCTGAATCTCAATCTTTTCAAACGTATACACATCAGATTTAAGAAATTTTATGAGGCGTTCATTAGTTATAACCAAAGCAAGCATAATATGCTTTAAATTACACCGAATTGTACAAACTATCTAAATCTGCCGTCAGTTATTGGGTCAATCTGCGTAAATAACTATGTATGGACCAATGAGCCTGTGTTCAATTGTACGTAGCCATTTGCCATCCTTGAATTTAAAAAGTATTAGATGAGCTTTATCGATTTTTAGTTGATTGTTTGCACGTGAATAAATTCAGGTGCAGAATGTCATCGGACCCGTTACGCTGGGGTTTCTGCTGTGCTGGTAGAATAGCCAGTGATTTCTCGTTAGCAATGGATAATGTTCTGTCAAATGGACACCACAAAGTAGCCGTGGCAGCGCGTGATAGTTCCAAAGCAGAAGAATTTGCTAAATCACATAATTTTGGCAGATCTTATGGTAGTTATGAAGAGCTTGCTGAGGATAGTGAAGTAGAAATAGTATATGTATCCTCCTTGCATCCGCAACACTACGAATTATGTCGATTGTTTTTGGAAAATGGGAAAAATGTTTTGTGTGAGAAACCACTTACGATGCAGTTGAAACATACAGAAGATTTAGTGGCGTTGGCCAGGGAGAAAAAATTGTTCTTCATGGAAGGATTCTGGTCGAGGTTCTTCTCTGTTTATGAAAGTGTGAAACGGCATATTGAAAATGGAGATATAGGTGAGCTATGGTAGGTTGTTTTAGTTTCTGAATCAAAGATGATTCGATGTCATGATGATACATTTTTGAATGTCACTGAACGTATTGATGAAACTTAAAGGTCGCGATGATTTTCTGATGTATCGTGGTCGCACTGAAGTTTGATTTTTCGTGGTTCTATTTATGATTTTCTGGAAAGCCGGCTCAACTATGGTACAGCGAACGTGTAAAGGTCACGGAGAATGTGAACGACTTCTAGTTTCGAAAGTGGATATAAATTTTTGGATCGGAATGAAAAAATAAGCATTGATCCAGTTTGTCTAACTGGATTAATTTTATCAAAAAATTACGAGCTTTAGGGGGAGGATAATTTTTTGAAATTCGAAGTTGAGGTTTTCTCCAAAGACAAGTCAGTATTTTTTCGCTTTCCGTGACATTTTCCAACGGTCTGTTGGTTATTTTTAAGTTTTCTATTTTAACAAATATTAATAGGTATCTTTTTGCTCATGTCAAATTTTTACCCAATTTTCATACGTTATTTATTTATCATAGCGGTATTTCATACGATTTAAGTTAATCATAGCTCGGCTGTTTTACAGGTGAAGTGAAGCAAATACATGCTCATGTCCACTCAGCCAATCCCATTGAGAGGATGACAAAGGCAGACTTGGGCGGCAGTGTGTGGTTCGGTGTTGGAGTATACACTCTCAATCTGGTCGACTTCATTTACAACTCCTGTCCACTTGAAGTGTCCTGCCATGCTCATCATTTTGCTCCAAAAGTGGACCAAGGTTAAAAATTATAACGACAAGTTTGTTAGGAAATCGATATAAATTTTCGAAGAGGTAACAGATGGAAGTTTTAAATAGTTTATAACTAAATCGGTTCCTGTTGTTGTTTTTAACTTATGTTTTGATATGTCACCGATTCGTACGTGTGGTCAAAGAAGCGCTGAATTTTGTTCTGATAAACACAGACAATCTTTCCTAGTATTTTAAACAACATCTCGTAATTGACGAGATATCGACGGGGCTAAAATCAAGCCATTTAGACATGTCTGATATTAATAAGAAACTTTTTTTGATTCGAACCGGGACACAATATTGTTTTTTAGTAAGTGTCAATGAACGAAGCGAACATGTTTATTTAGTTCTTGTGGTTTTGTGCGTGTCTTTGAGAAAATAGTCCATGCACTTGGGCGATTAGCAACAGTTATCAAATTGAAACATTGTTTTTTTTTCAGGTTGACAATTTTTCGAACAAAATCTCTGAGTTGCAGCGAACAGTAGACGGGCACTGTACATTAACAAGTCGTGATATGCTTCATTTCTGTAAGTTTGCCATTCAAACTTCTGTTTGCCACTTGATATTGCAGTGCTTTTTTACACAAGCATTGCTTGTTATAGTATGAACTCTCTTTTTTTTTCAACCTTAGTTACAAATATTGTTGCGACAAAATGTGTGTGTTCATTTTGATTCAGATATTAAGTACAGCCAATGTTAAGTATTTTAACCCAGACTATTATATTACAAATAGCACTTTAGCTTCCAGGTATCATGGATCTGTAGCGTAGAGGCCGGGAAGGAGACCGGCAACAAAATAAGAGGGTTCGAACCTGGGCAGGGTCGGATGGTTTTAATGAACCTTTTCGTAAACTAGTTAAAATGCGTCCGCACTATAAATTGAAGCATGTTAGTTGGTAATTTTTTTTTTCAAATTGACTGGTAATCTTAATGCGTCATAATTGGCTTGTGTCACTGAGCAATTATGTTGACTCATAATTGGCGTGCGTCACATAAGAAAATTTGTAGATTCAAAGTTTTACTCATTCAGTTTTTCCCAGTAGCGTTATCAGTCATATTTTTGCTTGTGTGTGCGAAGTGCAACTTCACCTCTGAGTCAAACTTGTATTTGAATTAATTTTCTTGCAAAAATTAAATTCGCAGTCGATTAGTCATCTGCTATTTCTCCTCGGGTTATTTTTCACAGTATGGTTTTTCTAATATTTTCATCCTTCCATAACTACATTTGCAATTAGCAAGCGTTATCCAATCGGAACATTGACGTTATTTTCCTTGTTTTTGCTTGATGTTTATTCGGCTTCGAAGGTTTCGGCTAACTTTATTTCTAACTTTTGTTCCATTGCTAATTTAAAATTCAGTTTTTTTGCTCGGCATGTTTGCCTAGGCTGAATTTTTATCGAGACTGAGAAAATTTTAGTAGACCTAGTTTTTTCAGCATTTTTCGTTTTTTTTTGTATTTCTAATGTTTTATATGGTTGTGTTGAATCGCACGTGATGCGAAGCTCTTCTTTGCCTGTGTATTGACTTTGTCGCCTTATATTGCCTCGTTTGACAAGCAATAATAATTTTTCTTTCTTGTGTGTGTTTAGGGGTTTGTGAAACGTATAGACTTCGAGTTATTAAATATTTTGCGATTAGCAAGCGTGATCAAATCCGATTAAGTATTTTTCTTTCTTGATTAACAAATGTGACTCTTAACCTTGAGGTCGGGATTCGATTTCTGTGCATGACAGAAATATAATTAGTGGTGCTTTTTCACTATATGACTCTTTCAGAGCTACTTTTGCCTTTTTTTACACTTGTATTAACGAAGAGTAGCGTCGCCTCGGTTTAATAATATATTGCTTTCATTTTTAGATCAAGAAAATACTTCATGATCCATTTTTTTCTTAATAGGTGAATCTTTTGAACTTTAAAGAGATGTCCGTTTTTTTTCTTCGGAATTCAAAAGATACAAATTTTTTTACCAATTTCAACTTTTCTAGCTGTAACTGTCTGTTGAAAATGTTGTAGATGTAGCGGTGTGTCTCAAGTACGGCGGAGGGAGGCTTGCTCTACTATCATCGTCAATGACAAGCGTGAGACCAAATAATGCTTTAATATGCGGAACTGATGGGTATATAGAGATCAAAAGTAGACTTGTATGTCCACTAGAATACGAGATATTCAAAAAGGGAGACACTGAAACGACTCGTCATTCGTTCGATCTAACCAAATTTAGAGAGAAGGAATACTTTTATGGAAACTGCGCGGGGTTTTGTTACCAGATAGAACATATCAGAAAATGTCTGCGATACTTGAAAGTGACTGAAAGTCCAGTTATGACTTTAGACTCTTCTTTGAGAATGGCTAGAATCACCGATACAGTGGTGAAGCAAATTTCTGGATCCTTTGAGGGCTAATCTAGTGAATTGGCGTTCCAGTTGGTGCTGCTAAGATCAGAAGTTCAAGTACCGTGTCTATTGAATATCAGATATTGTTATTGAGATATTGCTGTTGATATATTCCAGATATTGTTATTGAGATATGCCAGTTATTATTTTTGAATTTTTTTAAATGGTAGCTGTCATTTCTATCGATTTACTAGTGACAAAGATTACCTTTTAAGTGGTAAGTATGCTTATTGTATAACTTGAGTTATGCATTAAAAATTATATTATCCACACTTTATATCCTGGGAATCCGGAGATATCTTGTCGTGATTGCTTGAGTTGTATTTTTTCCATTTAGAGAAGCAAGTGTACTTGTTATCGGGAATTTTTTTTTGGCCATAAACAACATTCCTTGCATCTTGTTAATGGACCTTGCTTCATTCTGAAAGCTCGAAAACTATCAGGCTCCTTCTCAAATGGTGTAAAGTTAAAGCACGTACCGTCGGAACATAAGGTCTTTGGCTCGAGTCCCGGCCGGAGGTTTTTTTTTTCGTTGGGTGGAAACTGTATTTTTTTTCTAGGAAAAAATGAATTGTCGGACAACCGTTGGTCAACTTAATTTTTGTCGCTTTTTCTACCGAAGCTTGAATTTGTTGCTTCAAAAGAACCTCTTTTCCGATTTAAGCATTTTTAACTGTAATTGATTGTCATTCTGTAATTGTAAGCTTACCGAGGAATGGGCCTAAAAACGTCCGAGGAATGGGCCTAAAAACGTCTTATTTTCAAAAATTTGCGAAGGAATGGGCCTAAAAACTTCAATTTTTCAAAATTACTTCAATGTTGTCAATGATAACATTTTATTTCGATACAAGTGGCGTCTACATAAGTATCGTCGGCTCATTTGCAGCTCGGTTAAAGATTTTGAATGTATATTTAACGGCGATGATTGTGTTTCTTGGCATGTTTTCCTCGAGTTCAACATCCTTCGAGACAAATATGTGAAGTTTTTGTAGTTATGTTTTCCCGAATTAAAAAGAAATCTTTGATATAATGGTTTCCATCTTTGTTTCTGTCTACTAGCTTACAATGCTATTTTTGTGTTATATTGCAAGTGTCGCGAAGCTCCGCTTCGCCTGAGTATAAAACTTTTTTTTAAGTTTCTCATTTTTGTTGCTAGAAGGTAATGACTGATGATGTTGCATTCAATGGCATCTTAACATCTAATATTGCAGAAGACATCGCAGTATGTAACGATGAGTTTATCGAAGAGGAGCTTGAAGTAAATCCAGCGGTTCAACATTCTGAGAACTATCATATTGATTCTGCGAAAACCGAAGATCAAATACTGGGACAACATGAAGATGAAAGTGATATAGGGAAGCCCAGTCCCTCAGAAAGTGGACTGTCGAAACGACAGATTAGAAAGCAGAAAAAATTTGAGAGACTAAAACAGCAGCGCAAAGAAAAAAGAGCTGAAGAAAAGTTAAGACAGAAAGAGAAAAATAGGAAATTGGCCATTGAAACCGGTCAAACTCCACGTATGAAACGAGAGTTTTTAAAAGGGGCTTTGGAAAGAAGCGTTGATGTTAACATTGTGTTTGATTTGAGTTTTGCTGCTTTGATGTCTGAAAAAGATGCTCACAAGGTAGCCAAACAAGTTCATAGGTGCTATTCGGTCAACAGGGCGAGCGAGAAACCCCTGAAGATTCATCTGACGGGTATCGATGAAAGTATGAAAAAAGTGTTTCAGCATTGCGCTCCTGGATACGAGTTTTGGCAAATGTCTTCGCAGACAGAACAGCCGTACGAGGAATTTTTCAAAATGCAAGTAATTATCTTTAAACCATTTTCAAAACATAGACCGAGGAATCGTTTTTTTTTGGGTTAGCTGTTTGTGATTTATGTGAAGTTAATATTTTTTTCAGCATAGAACTTTCTTCCGAATTGATTCTAAGGTTGAGAGAATATATAAACAAATTATGAGTAAAGCAGCTCCAGTTTTCAGAAAAATTCTTCTCTGATGATTTATTTTTGCACTATCAAAAAACATTGAACGTTTGTTACTGTTTCAAAATGTAAAGAAATTTTGGCAGCTATTCATGTTGCTCGGGCATATACACCGGAAGTTGAAATGAGATAACAATATTGTAACTTGGATTTAGATTGAAAACAAGAAGCTGCATTACCTAACAGCAGAATCTGATAATTGCATGGATGCCATAGAACATGGTAGATATTACGTCATCGGAGGTTTGGTCGACCACAACGCTCACAAAGGTCACTGTCATGAACTGGCCACTGAGAAGTTAGTGCAAACTATGCGACTCCCTATTTCGGAACACATTGACATGAAAACAAGACACGTGCTGACTATTAATCACGTGTTTGAGATTCTATTGGCAAAAGAACTGGGAAAAGAGTGGAAGGAAGCTTTGAGGGAAGCTATTCCTCAGAGAAAAGGAGTCCAAGAAAAAGATGAAGAGGAATTGAAAGCGGGCGATGCTGCTGAAACCTAACATATGAAAGAAACCGAAGAATAATCAGATTAAGAGTACTTTCAAAAGCTAAGCTGATTGAACACTTGCTGAATAAAAACCCAAAAGTGAAGATTTTCCAAGAATCGTTTCACGTCCTTTTGGTTGGAATAAATTTTTGTTCGATTACTTTTTGCTTGTAAATGACGGCCGGCCTGTCTTGTTTACTGCATGTTTGCGCCTGAAATAACAATGGTCAGTGAATCCCAATAAGTTTGTGTTGAAAATGTTTGTTTTTATTTGAACTACATAGTTTTTTCTGATATCATTTTTTTGAGTGCGCAGACTTTTTTCTTTCCAGCTGTCATAGACAACCCTGGATTGATATCTAAAAACCTCTACGCTTGTTTGTTCAATTTTTAATGAAAATAGGATGATTTTGTGGCGCGAGATAATTCAGCTACAGACAATTCAGCCAATTTTAAATACCGACGATTCAGTAAAAAAAAACTCAGACAATTCAGCCATCGACATTTCGGCCGAATTAGATTACAGAGACTAGATCATAGGAAAAATTAAGGTTTTTTTAATTTGATTAGAGTCAGAAGGCGTTCAACATTTTAATAAAGAAATATGAAACATCAGAAAACAAATTTCAAAGATCAAAACAAATTTACTATGAAATTTTAGGATATATATGTAAATCAAAGAACTAAGTTATATATACTTCTGTGTGTGGTCTCAATTAAGATTGTAATTTTTGGGGTTTTAACAAGTTTCTTATTGGCAATTGAATATTTGGGCTTCGATTTTGTGATAATATCACCGTCCATCAGTCTCTCTACATTAATCTCGGAATTTTTTGCTTATTTTTGAAACGTGTTAAGAGCTTTGGGAGGGCTGGGTGCCTGGTCGACACGAAATTATTAAATCTGCCATTCCATGCCTACAATACAAACTTTGTACGAGGTTCTTCGCTGAGCACCCGATTAAAAACTTTCCAATCGGCAAGGGCAAACTTTGGTTTGACGCGTCTGTCTCCTCGACATGCACCAATATCGGTGTCTTAAAAGTAGTCCGATATACTCTGAAATTCCTTTCAAGGATCCTGTTTTTTAAGTCAAATTGTATTGCTTCTACCGAAATAAAATGACCCTAATGCAGAAACTTTTGATGATCGGTTTCAACGATAGTGAATATATGAATGTGTACGATCCCTCCTCGAAGTGGTAATCAAACAACTTGACTCCCAACAGAATGAACTTATTGCGTCGAGAGGAGAAAATTACAGGTTATTAAAGACAATAACGAGCTGGAAAAACTAGTACAAAATGGAAAGATTTTTTTTACTTTGTTTGACTTTTCATGCAGTGTCTGACGAAGGTGAGTACACAGTACATTCAATCGTGAGCATACTGATGCCAATAAAATTTTGTTTATGCACCCTAAAACGGCAAAATTTTTGTTTAATCAACGAAACGCTGTTTGACAAAACGTTCAATTTTTGGGACGAATTGATCGCTGGTAAAGATCATGATAACGGAAAATTCGTGAAAGAGAGGGATATTATGATGTATAGTAGACTTGAAAACAAATCTGCTTACGTCAAGTCATAAAAATCAGGCTCAGATATAAACGCCTAGTTCTGACTTCAAATGACAACCAAATGATCATCGAAGTCGATTGTTTTGCGGCAAACAATCCTAGCTTGCAAATAGGCATCTGCAGAAAGGTTAAGTAATTTTAATATGGTTGATAGTGCTGAAAACTATAACTATATTTGCTGTCTTCGGCAACGCCTGGTAAAAGGAAACGAAATGTGGCTATCAGTTCTCCTGTCAAACTTTCCTTTCCTTTCAAACTCTCATGTTCTTTCAAACTTCCAACATGGACTACAAGAGCAGAAACTGGATAATTTATGTCGCCTTGTGGAACAAATTATCGAACGAAATTATACGCCTAGGAAGTGACTATTAATGAGGGCGATGCTAGCGATAATAATATGAGCGGCAACGAAAAGCAACACAATTAATCTGAGAAAAGGATTTTGGTTTGAAGAAAGAAACTGAATTTTTGTTATTTTTGAGGATTTCTAATGGGTTGCGGCGGTGATATACTGTTTTCAAATGTTCAGTTTTTCCGTATCTAGCCATCATGACTAACTACAATTGCGTGGTGCATCACTAGAAGGGCAGCCACTAGTCATTAACCTTTGTGCAGCTTGGTTAAGTGACAGTGACCCGTTGAATTTTGAAACGAACAGATTTGTCAACATTTGCTCAATGTATCGCGCCCCATCAATGAAAAAAACTAATTTCAGTGTATTTTGAAAACTCAGTTTCGGATTTGAGTTCAAAGCGTGGTCATCAATCAATAGTGGCTGGCGATATGAACCTTGATCATATAGTTACCGCCCGTAAATCTCAGATCATCATTGATTAAAAATTGATATTGAAATTTTTTGGCTTGCAATATCAATTAGTGTGGCAAATTGAAATTTTTTTTTACAAGTTCTACTTGTTTTGATCACTTTATAAGAAGTATCAATCTGGCCGTAGATACTTTGCAAACATCTTTATTGATCAATATGCTTTGCTTGTATCTTTTGCAATTTTTACAGATGTATTTTTTGAATGTATTACCATATCATATTTTCCACTCTATTCTAAAAATACCTAAGTAAATGCTATTCGTAAAGATTGAACCAAAAACTCTAGCATTTATCGATCTATTAACTTACTTAGTTAGATAAATTATTTTATATAAGGTTGTTGCCCCTCATAAAAAGCATAATACTATAAATACTACAGTAGGTTGGCTTTCGTAAAAAGCATTCATTTATCAATGTAATTTTACGCTGTTCTGAGTCTATGTCAAAAACAAAAAAAAATAGAAAAATTTGGGTTTGGCATATCTTAGAGACTTTAAAAACAGTTAATCATTCAATTCTTTAAGTTTTTAGTTTTGAGGAAAGTTCAGTTTGGGGTGCAAAAAAATGCGTGGCGTGCTTTTCTTGATTCTTTAGAAACAAGTAAGGAAAAATTGTTTTAGTAATGGTTTAAAGAAGACCGATGTCTGGTGCTTTCTATCAGCTCCTAAAATTGCAATTTTTAGAGTTTGGCAAACACTTTGTTTTAAAAGTTTTCTCAAGCAGGTGAAAAAAAATCAGTTTTACTAAATGTTTCAAATTGTTGGGATTCAAATTGACAATCAACTAAAATTTTCAGATCGCGTGGATATCGTGTTCAAAAATTTAAACAGATTCAAGGAAGTTTAGTATATTGGCAGGGTAGTTTTTTCAAGAAAGTTGTTTTTAAGGCTTTATTTCGCTCTTGTAGCGCCTTCATTTTCGTATGGTCTCCTTGTCTATGGTAGCACAACTAGAACAAATCTGGAAATCAGAAAAGAATTCTAAGAATTTTTTTACTCAAATGTAATTTCGAACGCGTAACTTCAAAGTTTGATGATCTTGGAATATAAACATTTCATGAAGTCTATCTGTCTCTATTTCTCAAAGAAACAGTTTTTCAATATTTTAAACGTTCACCAAATGACTTTTTAAATGTCAGTAGTATTAGCAGTCGAAGAGATGCGCGATTTAGTTCAAATGGTATGCTTCCATTTTATCATTGAGAGACAAAATATATGGAATTTTTTTTCTGGCAAAACAGTGAAATGCTTTAAGTTCTTGTTTTCAAAAAAGATTTTTTACCTGATGAAATTGAAATGTTTTCCAATGACTAATTTTTGTAGGTTTTTTCAGCTGCTCAAAGAAAATTATTTAATAGATGTTGTTCAGCTTATAGAAATGTTTTTCTGATTTTTCATAGGTTACCTTTTTTTGTGAGATAATTGCGAAACGAATTCCAGAGGGTAGCTACTTGTTAGGCTGAGTAGCCTGTTGTAGCTATCCTGATGCAGTGAATGATTATGCTCTATTTTCTAAATTGTTTCGAATGAATTGAAAGACTGCAGCCCCACTGCCCCTTAGTTCCTGGCCCTTAATTTTGACGAGGAGTCAGATGTCGTCCATTTTTGTTGTAGCTAGTCCCACCTTTTCATTCTACGCTCAATCAAATTTCTTTATCTGGTTTTCGTTTGTTCAACCTGTTCCCTTTAAGATCTATTTACAATATCCATTAAGGGCTTACCCATGAATAAGCCATGACAGCTTCCAATAACGTTTTTTTTTTATTAATTGTTAAAGATTAGGTTGTTGACTTGATTACGTTCGTGTTTACTTCCTTGTTAGTTAAGATTCATTCGAGAAAATTTATTGTTGTCAATGGATCAGGCTTGGTTGATGCTTAGTGTTTTTGTACTTAACTATCTCTGGTTACTTTTTGTTTGATTTCTTTCCTGTTGCTGATAGTTCAATGAAAATTTGGCTTGACAGCGTCCAAGTTGCCCTCAACTTCTAGTTTGTTCAGATCTTCGAACATGAGTATCCAAGTCTCGAAGTCTTCGTGGAACCATTTACGTCTCTGAAAGTCTGTGTTTTGCTGGTCAAATGTGTCTCGTAAGTGCTCGCTCCTGTAACCAGGATAGAGAAAAGCACCACGGCGTTTGATTCCGAAAAGTTGGCTACAGTCTTCAATCCATTTGTTGGTTACGAACTCGATTTGCGAGTTGCTGAGGTCAAGTCTTGCTGGCATGTTTGTTCTGAAGTCGCCTCTGTAAGGCATGAAAGCACAAACCTTTGTAACCTCGCGTGCTCTCAGGAGCATAGCGGCCTGAATCCAACCCATCCATTGATCGCGGGTGGCATCGGTATCATCTGGAACCTAAGTAACATCAAATATCATTAATAGTCTCATTTTTCCGATTTCCTTGCCCTATGATTCTTCCCAAGATTCGGAGGCTTCTTAGTTTGGTTTCCAAAAGACATTATGAATATTCATAAAATGGAACCTAGGTTCATAGTTTTTATTCGATTTTAAGACCGGATTTGTAGTTTTCCAGATTGACCAGGCAGTTGCTGTTTTGTTACTTTTGAGGCCTGAGACAATGAAGTTGATAAATTTTGTGGAGAACTTACAATTCTTCGGCCTTGTTCCTGTTGTTCTTCGGGAAACACCAAGTGTATCGGACCCTGAGGTTTCTTGCTGAAGGAAGATCTAACTCCGCAAATGTCAGTTATAGTGACACTATTATTATTTTGACTCTGCCTTGCTTTGATGTGAAAAGGGAATGGAATGAAGAAGTAGGCGTCTGCACGGTTACTCGGAGCATTGGGACTACTTTTC